TCCCGAAGGATTTCCCACGCTGTGACATTTCTGAGGTAAAACTTTTGGAGCTGCATTTCCTGGGTCCTTTTCCCACTTCAAGGCTCTTTTTCTGAAATATTTATTCTCTTTTTTGGGGATTTCAGGCTTTGTGGCCCATCACGTGACGCCCCGTGTCACCGCCTCCATCTTTCCCCTGCCTGGAGCAATGGCGGCTCCCCAGTAAAGCTGCCTCTTAATCTGGGTCCGACCTTCTCTTGGTTTGAGCAAAAAGAAAAAGAGTATTTGGGGGGGGGGTGTTAATATTTGCAAAGTTCTGGAATTGGGAGCGTGAAACTGTTTCCCAGACAGGCTGCGAAATGTCTGAGGTAAAATTTACCTCAGAGTCGGTTTCTCTGAACCTCAGATTGCATTTGCTCCTCAATTTTACTCTCTTTTCCCAGGATTTTAGCATTCATGACCCTTTGCTTGACTCCACATTTACAACCACCATCTCCCTGCTCTCTGCCCCTACAGACATACATGAGGGATGGACATAATCCACTTTTTATTCTGTTTTGTTAAAACACACACACGCACACCCACATAAATTATTAAATAATTGTCAGGTGGGGATGGTGGATCTGGTCTCCAATGATCCGGCCAACCAGTAGATGAAAGCAGAGTGTGGCTACTTATTTCCCTTTATTTATTATGTATAATATTTATTATTATTTATTTATTTTTCCCCTACTGGTTTCCCTTTATTCATTCTGTATTGTATTATTCATTATTATTTATTTTTCCCTACCGGTTTCCTTTTATTTGTGGCTGCCTCTAGGCATGGAAAGTAAAACCCGAAATGAAGAAATAAAAAGATCAGCAGAAAACAATCCCAGGATGAGAAGAACCAAAGCCAACATTTTAAGTTTTTCCCACTCAGGGACAAGAACAGCTATCTTTATTTCTGTTTCTTGTTTGTTTTGGTCCCAGTCACCTGATTCTTCTTCCACCCTTATTTCCCTGCTCCCATCTGTGGACCCCCGGAATTTTTACATTTTATTTTATATTAATTAATTTTCTTGTAACTGTGTTGTATTTATATCTACTTCTTAGTTTTATTCATAATTATAAATTTATGTATTTTACTGTAGTGTTCTCCAGCTTAAAGGCTGTAATATTTAATTTATTTTTTATTTTATTATTTTTTTTGCACACACTGTGGTATTCCCATGCTGCCATTGCTTAAAGAGCTAGCCAGGGGGCGCCCTCCGCAATTTCAGCTGCAGAAGACAACTGAGCATGCTCGGGAGAATTTGCCCTGGTTTTGCAGCCTTGGGACTTCCAAGGAAGCTATCGTTGTTTGAGGAGGAAGTGGGGGGGTCCTTGCCCAGAGTTCTGCCTCTCTAGGAAGTTGCACTCTCTGCATTTAACCCCTAAAGCAAGACGGCAGAGAGAGGAAGCATGCAAACGCAGACTGCAAAATTACCCATTCATTCTTATGAGTAATACTGTACTAATGACAACAGCCACAACATCCATTTGCATAATGCTGCCCACCTGGAAAGGTTGCATCCTGATGGTATGGATGGAGGTCTGTAGATCATCTCAGGGGAGGAGGAGGAGGGGGATGGCATCTCATTCTTCCCTTGCAAGGAGAAACCCTTCTCTTCCATTGTGGGGTGGTGGGGGCTGCTCTGGGGAAGCCCTCTCCTTCCCTTGCTTGGGAGGTCTGGGGTCTTGGGTGGGAAGAAGGAGGCTGGAGCAGCAGAAGGGACATTTATGCCCTGTAATCTCTGCAGGAGAGCAAGGAAGCTTTAAAAAATCCATCTATGTGGTCACTAGGAGTTGAAAACGATGTGATGGCACAAAATCAATCAATCTGGGGGGTTTGGGGAGCTGGAAACAGCCTGCCAACCCCTCTCCCTGAGAAGATGGACCTGCCTCAACTGGAGCTCCCATTGCCACTGGGACCCTCCATCCAGCCCCCTTTCAGGATGGCTGTCAAGGAGGGAGGGGCAACCAGGAGACCGCAACGAAGCCTTTCTTTGCGGGGGAGGGAAGAGGGAGCTTCTTCTTTACGGGGATCCCCAATTCTTCCCCCAGATCTGGTCCTCTCAGCACCAGCAGCTTTGGAGATCCAGGAAGTCCCTTTGAAGTGTTGCAGGGAGCCCAGACAGATGATGGAGGCAAAAGAGCCACTATGGGAAGGAACAGGAAAATCTTTTTGTGATGCTCAGGCTAAAAGCCAGGAGAAATTCAGTCAATGGCCTGGGCAGAAGATCCTGGAAATAAAAACTCTCACTTGGGATATCCAGCATCAGGCCTTAAGGGAATTCTGCTTCCAGAAGGCAGAGGGACCCCGAGACATTTGCAGCTACCTTCACCGCCTTTGTCATCAATGGTTGCAGCCAGAAAGACACACAAAAGCTCAGATGCTCGACTTGGTGATCCTGGAGCAATTCCTGGCTGTCCTTCCCCCTGAGATGGAGAGCTGGGTGCGGGAGTGTGGAGCAGAGACTAGCTCTCAGGCGGTGGCCCTGGCTGAAGGCTTCCTCCTGAGCCAGGAGGAGGACAAAGAGGAGCAGGTGAGAGAAGCAATATTTCTGATTTCTGTAGATGTTTCCCTACCAAGATTTTTTTGAACTCCATATAAAAAAAGGTTTTATTGCCTCTTCGATAAAATTTCCCAGGAAAGGTGGGATGTTGAAAACTTCCTCCATCCCCACTTTTGAATATCAAGGTAGGATCCATGATGGCAGACACCAAGAATGCCCTCTTTTCTATGACCTAATACTCTAACTCTCCTTTTCTTGCTGGTGTTCATATGTAGGGGAGTTCCTTCAAGTCAAGGGGGGATCTCTCAGATCCCCCTCTGGAGATGCTTTCCAAGGAGGATCAAATTCAGGAGATTTCATCAGGTAAGGAAGGATCTCCTCTTCTTTCCCCAGAAAATTTCAGCTCTCAGACTTTGCTCATCTTCAGAAACTGGTTGTACAGGATTAGCTTGTGTTATATAGTGATTCTCCCTAAAAATTAACAATATTTTTGAAAGACTCCTTCCACTTCCTTTGTCTCTCTCACAGGGGACAGTATGATGTCCCAGGTACTTCTAGAAATGTCTCCTTTTTCTGATGGACCAGATAGAGCAACTCTCCCTCCAACTCAGGTAGGAGAAGCAAGATGGTGATATGTGCTAAGACTGTTGGGTGGCCTCCAGTTCCTTAAAAATTGCACAAGGAATAATAATAACCCTTTTCAGGGAATCACAGCAGGATGTGGGTGTGGTCTGTAACTGGGTCAGACCTTCCTCCAGTTGAGGGACAGATAGATTATAGGCACAGATAGAGCAGAAGTAACCGAGATACAACTTAAGGCACCAAGGCAGGTCATGATCAAGAAGAATCATTCTAAGAAGTGATCTCTGAGGGATGTTATAGATTATTTACAATGGTATCCAATGGGATTCCCGCCTGTCCTGGCCAAGTGGTCTGTGGAATATTGTGCTTCCTGGCACAAGCTCCAGCAGAATAAATAAAATTAAATGCCTCCCTGTTCTGAGCTCTTCCTGTTTTCCTCTCACAAAATTTGGAATCATACAGAAAAAATGACTGTTCGCTGCACTGCAGATACCTGCACATCTTGAGTCTGAGTTAGCCTATTGAATGGACCTCAAGTTGGTGGGATGAAGGCAACAGTATGTTGGCTTGAAAAATAGTCTCTAGAATGGAGGTCCTACCTTTTCTAAAACAGTGTGACCATGTTTGGGCTGTACTGACCAAAGTGCACCAAAACTGACTAGTACAGTCCTTATTGTTCAGAGGGAATGCTACATGTCTGTGCCTTCTCCTACTAAAATGTACTATGAGAAAGCCTTGGTTGACCAAAGCCATAATATACAGTGGGGGGCAACATCAGTCGACCCATCTGGGGCTTTTTTTGGGCTTTGCATAATGTTGCTTTCTACACAAGGGTGATGCGTATATGGAAATACCTACTTTTAGGATCCATGAGTTAAGAGTGAGATCTTTCAAACCTTTCTTCAGCTTATCTGTTAACTGGGAACATTTTCATCCTCTTTCAGGGTCCCATGTCCTTCAAGGAAGTGGCTGTGTATTTCTCTGAGGAGGAGTGGGCTCTCCTGGATTCTGATCAAAAAGCCCTGCATGGAGAAGTCATGCTGGAGAATTCTAGGAATGTGGCTTCTCTCAGTAAGAGTCTGTCTTTGCTCTGAATTCAAATAGCTGAGGACATTCTGTACTCTGAAGTAATCTGCCTGTCTGTTTCTTCCAAATAGCCAAGCCAGACCCTGCCTCCTGGTTAGAAGAAGAAGATCCGCTTTTCCAGGGATCCAGGAAAGGTGAGAAAACAGCAGGTCTCTGGTGAGATGGTGAGATACACATCTTATTTTGGATATGACTACAGTGAATTTTTAGTTTGTGTCTGTCTCACCACACACAAGCTGATGCTTTGGCTGAAAAGAAAAAAAGGCAATTTGTGATCTGAAAGCCATCTGTGTCCCCCACCCCCACAAGTCCTCTGAGAGTCCTTCTTTGACCTTGATGGGTAAAAGGAGAAGAATTCCAAAGCCCTAGACCTTCTAATGTGTTACATGGTCCAGCCCACTTTTCAGCTGTCAGTTCTCGGCCACCCAAAGAGTGTCCACCCTCAAAATGATAACATTTCTGATCTCTAACATCCATTTGCAGTCCTCTACTTGTCTTTGAAGACAAAGGAAGTGTGCTGTGACAGAGGGAAAGAAAACTGGCTATATACTGCCTTTGCAGAGAAATTAATGTGCCTTGGAATTCTCCTCCACGTATAGTGGGGAAGCAAGGGCATTTCATTGCTCAGAGGCTTTTGGGCTGTTCCTAACTGAAGACTGGCCAGTGACCATTTCATGATGCTGCCTAGATAGGTTTCATCACAGATGTATGGAAGGCAACTTTTAACTTTAAGAACAGAGATCTCCTTTTTCCATTTGGTGGGAGAATCTGTAACTCAGTGAAGTCTTCCCAAGTCCTAGGAAGTCTTGAATTCCAAGTAGTTGCTACTTCCTTCACAAAGACAATTGGACAACGATAGTGTTCTTATAGCAGGTTCACACATTCAATATGATGGAATCCTAGAGTTAGCGAGAACCCTTGAGGCCATCAAGTTCAATCTTCTGTCCCCCCGCCCCACCCCCGGAATCCAGATCAAAGCATCCAAAAGATGTCTGTCCAACTTCCAGTTAAACACATCGAATGAAGGGGAGCCTAGCAGCATTCTGAACCATTGTTGGTTCTGTTGTCAAACTGCTCTTACTATTAGAAAGTCTTTTTCTAACATTCAGCTGGAATTTGCCTTTCTGTCATTTCAGTCCATTTATTTACTTATGATTTATTCTTTTTCTCTATCAACCAGAAAATGATGAGGAAAATTATAATTGTCAGGAGCCAGATTTGGGGACATCAGAAACAATCCAACAAGAGGGAGGAAAAGAGGCATTTGAAAATCACTGTGGAAAAAAAAACATCAAGGAAAATCTGCCTAAGTATGTGGCTGAAAAGTCACCTCCTTCTCAGTGTGCTGCAGTTTGGGAGTTCCTTCTGGCCCAACAGGATCAGAAAGGAATGAGAAGGGAGAACTGCCTGTGGTGGGGGAAAGTATTCAAAGATAACTCAGATTTACAACCACATTGTGAAACTGAGGCTAGAGACAAGCAATATGAATGCATAAAGTATGGCACATTTTTCAGCCAAAGCTTCCCATTTAATTTATGTCAACAAATCCACATGCAGAGTGGGAAGGACTTCAGTAGCCAAAGTCAACTTGCTTCCCATAAGAGGCTCTACACAGAAGAGAATCGATATAAATGCACTGAGTGTGGACTGAACTTTAGTAAGCGAAGTTCTCTGACTTCCCATAAAAGGATCCACACTGGGGAGAAACCCTATAAATGTATGCAGTGTGAAAAGAGCTTCAGGATGAGCAGCCACCTTACTTCCCATAAAAGGATCCATTCAGGGGAAAAACCATATAAATGCATGGAGTGTGGGAAGAGTTTCAGCCAAAGCAGTCACTTCACTTCTCATAAAAGGCTTCACACAGGAGAGAAACCATACAAATGTATGGAGTGTGGACAATGCTACAGGTTGAGCAGTCAGCTCACCTCCCATAAAAGTATTCACACAGGAGAGAATCCATATAAATGCATCGAATGTGGAAAGAGCTTCAGTACCAACAGTTCCCTTACTTTGCATAAAAGGATCCACACAGGAGAGAAGCCATATAAATGTATAGAGTGCGGAAAGAGCTTCAAACAGAGCAGTCAACTTACTTCTCATAAAAGTATCCACACTGGGAAAAAACCATATACATGTATGGAATGTGGACTGAGTTTCAGAATGAAGAGTTCTCTAACTTTCCATGCAAGGATCCACTCAGGAGAGAAACCATATAAATGTACCGAGTGTGGAAAAAGCTTCAGGTGGAACAGTTACCTTACTTCCCATATGAGAGTTCACACAGGGGAGAAACCATATAAATGCATGGAGTGTGGGAAAAGTTTCAGTAAGAGAAGTTCTCTTACTTACCATCGAAGGATCCACACAGGGGAGAAGCCATTTACATGTATGGAGTGTGGGAAGAGCTTCAGTAATTCCAGTGTTCTTTGTTCCCATAAAAGAACCCATTCTGGGGAAAAACCTTACAAATGTATGGTATGTGGAAAGAGCTTCAGCCAGAGCAGTCATCTTACTTCACATACAAGGCTCCATACAGGAGAGAAACCCTATAAATGTATGGAGTGTGGGAAGAGCTTCAGTAACTGTAGTGTTCTTCGTTCCCATAAAAGGATCCATTCTGGAGAAAAACCATATACATGCACAGAGTGTGGAAAGAACTTTAGCCAGAGCAGCCACCTTACTTCGCATAAAAGACTCCACACAGGAGAGAAACCATATACATGTACGGTGTGTGGAAAGAGCTTCAGTAAGGGTAGTACCCTTACCTTCCATAAAACTGTTCACACAGGAGAAAAACCATATAAATGCTTGGAGTGTGGAAAGAGTTTCAAACAGAACAGTCAACTTACTTCTCATAAAAGGATCCACACCAGGAAAAAACAAACAAATGTTTGGAGTATGGAATGCACTGCAAAATGAAAAATAAATCCTTCTTTTCCATAGAAGGATTCATTCAGTGGAAGAACCATTTAAATGTATGGAGTATTGAAAGGCCTTAAGTGAAAGTGGTAACCTTAGTGTTCATAAAAGGATTCACACAAGGGAGAAATGATATAGATGTTCTGAAGGTTGAAAAACCTTCAGCCAGAGTCCTTTTTCTTCTCATTCTTGCTTGAAAAGTTTCACCAGAAGAAGATACCCAGCTTTCTATTAAAGGAGCCACAAAAGAGAATTCTTATGGAAAGATCATCAGAAAAACAGCCATAATTCCCATGCATGGATCCAACTTGGGAGAAACCATATTTATATTTATAAATATTTACGTATGGAGAAGCTGCAGTTTTTGGACATGAGATAGAATATAAATGCATGATGTATGGAAAAATTACACAAAAATGTGTGAACTCTTAACATTATCTCCCCTTAAAAGAATCTACACAGGGAAGAAGTTAGGACTGTTTTTGAGATGGAACATTCTGAGGAATTGTGAAACATTCCCTTGGACCATGATGATCCAATAATTCCAGGGGTGATCCAGCAATTTTCAAGAAGTAAACTTTTTAATGGTGCTTTCTGCTGACACAGATCTTGGAAGATGTCAAAGAACTCAGAGGGGAGAAATCATAAGAATATTCATAATTGCCATGAAACTACACAGCATAGTAACTGATGGATTGTTGATAAAGTAGTGGGAATAGAGAATTCATTTGGAGTACAGTATTGCAATGTGGTCTGTATGGGGCAGCCTTGAAGTCCATCTGAAAGCTTCAATTGGTTTAGAATTCAGTGCATCGTACAGTGGTTAGTCTAGATTTTCCCATGTAATGCCTTCCTGTGGGAGCTCCACTACTGACTGGTTTCCTTACAGGTACAATTCAAAGTGTTGCTCATCGCTTTTAAAGCCCTCCTTGGATAGCTAGAGAGCCACCTTCTCCCAGTAGCTTCTGCCCACCCAATAAGATTGGGAGGTCCCTTCTCTTAAGAAGTATTCTCTTCAAGCCTTCTAAGTTGTGACCCCGTCCCGCTGCCCCTTCTCTGAATCAGCATTTCTCCTGAAATAACAGTGGTTCCTATTCTATTATCAGAAAGCCATTAAAATCTAGCTATTCCAGAGGGCCTTGGGAGTAGGGCCAGCTACGGTTTTGGAAGCTGTAGGCGGTTCCTTGGGGCACTGCTCTTTTGCTTTGTCATCATTTTTTACTACTATTACATTTTTATGTTTGTATTATTTTGTAAGCTGTTTAGAGTTTTGTTTGGATTAAAGTGACATGCAAGTTATAGTAAATATCAATAAATAAACAGGGAAGAAGCAGAGAACTTTTGGAGATGTAGTTAGTCAGAGGAGAAGCTTTAAATCCTAGGAGATCTTAATCGACAGCAAAGAACAAATATCTACTGTTTTATTCTCCATATTCTAGCTTATGTTGTGATATTCACACTGCATTAGCTTTCTGGTTTGATCACATACCATGTACTGTAGAAAGCGTAAAATGTTTTACTACTCGATAATAAAATGTCATGTTGATTTTATATGGTCTACTTGTGGTTTGTTTTAGCCCTCTCCTAAAGCCCACTGGGGTACATTGGATTCTTAAACCATGATAAGACATTAAGTTCAGATTAAAGAACTCAAAGTTACTCTAAGTTTCATTTTAGTTTTTTCATGCTAGAGTCTTCCCTCTTTTCCAAGGAACCCAGCTCCAGGGATGAAACCAACACAGAATATCCCATGAGACCAGCTTCCCAGCCAGCCCAACAGCTCACAGTCACTCAGAAGGACATTCATGCAGTGACCTGGATCTTTCAGGAAAGCCACCTATGACTCATTCCAGGGAAATTCCCCTTCCCTACCTTCCACTGCATGGGTAGCCAGATGTTATTCTGTGGAGTTCAAAACCTTTACTAGGAATCCAACTCACAGACCTTCACACTTTAGATGTCTCTGCAGCACATTGACTTTTTAGAGCCATCCAGGTCCTGGTGCTCAGAAGTTGCAGTGGTGCCTCCTGGCAGTCAATGTCACAAATATTCCAAGCCATGTAAAACATCGTATCTCTCTGCTCTGAGAGCTGAAGAGAAGTTGGAGTACAGATACCATTCAAGACCTTGTTCAATGTTGGTGGCTTCACAGCTATAAACCAAGAGCTCCCCACTTTGCTGCAGGGGAAAGTTGATAATCACAGGATGGTTTTGTTCTGCTAAATGTGTTTTTCAAATCTTTATTTTTTATTCAATTTGGTGCCACCAGGCAGTTCACAATGCACTATTTTTCAAATTTTTGTGTTATTTCAGATTTGCTGATTATCTGCAAAAAATAGCTACTTCCTATTCTTTTCCTGCCTATAGCAAACAGTAAATTACTCTGTTCTGGCTTATCAAACATGGCAAAAACTTCCAAAGATAAATCAGTATAGGGGAAAGAACATTCTTGATTCCAAAAAACAATTTTTAGGAAGGGAAAAAAAGCACATAATTATATTTACAAATCTTAAACAGCACAGCACGATCTCCTACTGAAATCTAGATCCTTTAATTTAAACCCATTGTTTCTTGTCTTCTGGAGGAGCCGTCACCTTTCTACAACCATCTTATTGATAACTGGGCCATCAACTGAGAAAAAGGTATTTGTTAATGAAACTTTAACTTGGATGTTTTATAGAAATAAAGTACTGTACCAATGGTTTCTGAAAGAAGCAACAAAAACAGAATTAAGGAATTCTGAAATTGCAGAAATGTGTCTTTAGTTCCATCTACCAGATTTGGCTGTGAAAATCTGGAGTATCATGAGATGGGTACAGATTTTTTTTTTTTTTGGTAAATCTGATGATTCTCACCAGCATCATCACCAGCAACCACAAGGTGGTAGTAAAGAGTGAGATTTCTAACTAGTTGCTGCCTCCTTGTACCCATTCCTGTTTTGCAGCCCAGATCTGAGAGGCTTTAACTCCAAGCACTCCAGGGCAGGAAGTTGTCACCTTCCAGATCAAAATGTTTTACATTCATGGCTTCAGACTCCTGAGAATAATACTAATTGCTCTCAGCTGACATATTTTGAGACAACTCAATTATCCAGATCAGCTTTCTCTGGACAGACAGAGGAGAAGCAGAATGTTGTTTTTCTTCCTAGTGCTTTTCCCACATGTGCAGGGTCTGTTTTTTTCAGATCAACTGAATGTTGATCTGTTGGTTATGACAGGAATTGACTGACTGACTTGTTGCCTGAGCCTGACAACTGAGCCAAGAGTGACTGGCCCAAAGTCACCCAGGCAGCTTTCATGCCTAAGGTGGGACTAGAACTCAGAGTCTCCTGATTTCTGGTCTGGCACCTTAACCGCTAGACCAAACTGGCTCTCTTTTGATGGTGCTGAGAATATTGAAGGTATTATCTCAGGTGATTCAACTGCATATGTTAAAAATAGCAATAATTTGGGATATAGATGCCTGACTCTGCTGCAGTTGCAAAAGGCCAGAATTCTCATTTTTTATTACTAGATTTATATCCTACCTTTATTCTGTGTAATTAAAGGCAGTGTACAGAATGGTCCTGCCTCCTATTTTCCCTACAAACACCGCCCTTTGAAATGGGTTGAGAGGGAGTGACTGGCCCAAAGTCATCCAGATGGCTTTCATGCTTCAGGAGGACCAAAACTTGTGTCTCCTGGTTTCTAGTCCAGCACCTTAACCAATAACCTAAACTGGCTCTCGGTTTTCATGGATTATGTGCCATCAAGTCACTGTTGACCCTTAGCAACCACATAGATTGTCTCCATGATGAGAACTTTCATGGACCCCTCTAAAAATCCAATCTTTGGAATTTAATTGAGAAAAATATACAGATCTGCAAAAAAGCAATGAGTCAGAACTCACTGTTCAGTTAGAAAATAAAGTTTCCTAGCAGCAGGAAAATATGCTTTTATTTCCATCAATAAGATGAGTTTCATTTTCAGATGTCACTGGACTGATTAACCACATCTTTTATCAGTCTTACTTTAAAAGGGCCCCTGCAGTTCCACCTTTGTACTCCCAGCTCACACCCCTCTGAAGTCCATAGTTTGGGATCCACTTTATGAAAACCAACAAAATGACACAAACATGCAGGTTTTGTTTACTTCAATTTCTATTCTGAGTGCTAGGAGCTGCAAAAATCAGCAAATGCTGGTTACAGGGCTTGTCCTTGTATCCTGCTTGCCAAGGCACACTTTAGTGTTTTTTTGGGGAGGGAGGGAGGGAGGGAGGGAACCCAGTGTTACATCACCTCCATCTCATTTGTAATCTGCTACTAAGGAAGCTGAGAGCAATCATTGCTTGTTTCAGTTTGGAAGTTGTGTTTTCTTTCTTCTCCCAGTACGAAGCGTCCACATGGGCAATCTACAGAACTTTGCAGTGATGGAGATATTTTTGTCTAACTGGCCAGCAAGTGTGCTGCAGAAACACCCCTCCCCATCCAGCTGCTGAGGACTGCACCACCATGGCTATTTTGACTTTGCTGCAATACCTGGGCTTTTTAGAGTAATGAAGCTATACAGTAATGAAGATGGAGCTATACAAACTCCGTTGCCTAGGCAAAAGGGGCTAAAGCATTTTTTAAGTCCAGAATGTCCATTCAGACATGGCTCAGACTCCTCCCTAATTCTCTGAATGATAAAAAGGAGTTCCAGCACAATCAGATTTGCAAGATTGTGGCCACTTTGGAATGTGAGAGGAAGAAAATGGTTAAAAATATGAATTGGGCATAACAGCATTACTGATATTTCAGAAACTTAATTAAAATTCAATGTAAAGATACAATAAATAAAGGAAATATGTATTTTGCTCTAGCTGATGTTTTTTTCCACTGTGGCCTTAGTATGCCACAAATACACGCGTGGAATTGGGTGAAAGAAGCAAGTTTTTAGAGGCCTCAGTTGAATGGGATTGCCTTAATAAAATTGAAACATAAAGGAATGTGCAGCATCCTTTATGTTTCAACTTTATTAAGGCGATCCTATTCATGAGGCCTCTAAAAACTTGCTTTTCACCCAAAGGTATATTTTCCTCACACAACCTAGGAAATATTGCACACTTGTTACTTCTATGACTTTGCTTCACACAAGTTCACCGATGTGAAACAGAATGACTGCTTTAATTCTAGCTCTTCCCAAATTCCATAAATGTGAATGGATTATTCCTCATATGGATCCTTTTATGGGAATTAAGGGTACCACTTTGACTAAAGCTCTTTCCACATTCAGTGCATTTATACGGTTTTTCCCCCGAATGGATTCTTTTATGAGAAGTAAGATGACCGCTCTTACTGAAGTTCTTTCCACACTCAGTGCATTTATAAGGTTTCTCTCCTGTATGGATCCTTTTATGGGAAGTAAGTTGAATGTTCTGAGTAAAGCTCTTTCCACAATCTGTGCATTTATATGGCTTTTCCCCTGTGTGGATCCTTTTATGGGATGCCAGAGCACTGCTCCACCTAAAACTCTTTCCACATTCCATACATTTATAAGCTTTCTCCCCACTGTGGATCCTTTTATGGGAAGTAAGGTTACCATTCTGAGTAAAGCTCTTTCCACAATCCATGCACTTATACGGCTTCTGCTTCATATGGATCCTTTTATGGGAAGTAAGATTACTACTCATACTAAAGCTTTTTCCACATTCCATGCATTTATATGGTTTCTCTCCTGTGTGGATCCTTTTATGGGAAATCAGGTCAGTGTTCCTCCTGAAGTTCATTCCACACTCCATACAATTATATGGTTTCTCCCCTGTGTGGACTCTTTTATGGGTCAAAAGATTGCTGCTATTTTGGAAACTCTTTCCACACTCCATACACTTATGCGGTTTCTCCCCCGTGTGAATCATTTTATGGGAAGTAAGGGCACTACTCCACCTGAAACTCTTTCCACATTCCATGCATTTATATGCTTTCTCACCTGTGTGGATTCTTTTATGGGAAGCAAGGGAACTGCTCATACTGAAGCTCTTTCCACACTCTATACATTTATAAGCCTTCTCCCCAGTGTGGATCCTTTTATGATAAGTAAGGTCACTGCTCCTCCTGAAACTCTTTCCACACTCAGTACATTTATAAGTTTTCTCTCCTGAGTGGATTCTTTTATGGGAAGTAAAGGAACTGCTCTGCGTGAAGCTCTTTCCACATTCCATACAGTGATATGGTTTCTCCCCTGTGTGGACCCTTTTATGGCTGGAAAGACTGCTGCTATTTTTGAAGTTCTTTCCACACTCAATGCATTTATATGGTTTCTCCCCTGTGTGGATTCTTTTATGGGAAGCAAGGGAACTACTTTTTCGGAATATTTTCCCACAGTCTCTACATTTGTATGGCTTCTCCCCTGTGTGGATCCTTCTATGGGAAATTAGATCACTGCTCTGAGTAAAGCTCTTTCCACATTCTATGCATTTATGTGGCTTCTCCCCTGTGTGTATTCTTTTATGTGAAGTAAGGGACCAATATACCCGGAAACTCTTTCCACACACTGGGCACTGGAATGGCTTCTCCCCAGTGTGAATTGTTTGATGGGAAGTAAGGCGCCTGCTTGTATGGAAGCTTTTTCCACACTCGGTGCATTTGTAGGATTTCTCTGCTGTGTGAATCCCTTTATGAAGAGTCAGATCACTGGCCCTCCTGAAGCTCTTTCCGCACTCAGCGCACGTATGTGGTTTCTCCTTTGAATGAATCTTTTTATGGGAAGAAAGGTTGCTGCTTGTGTTGAAGTTCTTTCCACACTGACAACATGTATATGGTTTCTCCCCTGTGTGGACTCTTTTATGGGAAATAAGGGAACTGATTTGACGAAAGTTCTTTCCACACTTCATGCATTTATATGGTTTCTCCCCTGTGTGGACTCTTTTATGGGAAATAAGGGAACTGATTTGACGAAAGTTCTTTCCACACTTCATGCATTTATATGGTTTCTCCCCTGTGTGGACTCTTTTATGGGAAATAAGGGAACTGATTTGACGAAAGTTCTTTCCACACTTCATGCATTTATATGGTTTCTCCCCTGTGTGGACTCTTTTATGGGAAATAAGGGAACTGATTTGACGAAAGTTCTTTCCACACTTCATGCATTTATATGGTTTCTCCCCTGTGTGGATCCTTTTATGGGAAGTAAAGGCAGGTCTCCACCTGAATCTTTTCCCACATTCCATGCATTTGTATGGTTTTTCTTCCACGTGATCTCTTTCATGTAGAGAAAAAGAAAAATTCTGAGTGTAACCCTTCCCATCCGCCATGCATTCGTGCTCTTTTCCTGTAGTGAGTGTTGGGCAGCTGTTCTTCCTCCCATTTTCTGACTGTTTTCTCTTCTGACTTCTTGGTTCCACTTGATCCACAAGCATCTCTCTTCTCTCTTTCTGACTGATCCTTTGAAATGGCTCCTCATCTTTCTCTTGTTCTTGCTCATTAGCTCCTGAATGAAAAAAATTGAATGAAAATTTTGGCAAGACTTGGGAAATAAAATAAACATTCATGTAGAAATAACAGTAATCTTCCTGCTGAATTTCTGCCAATTCTAACAAATTTCAATAGAGGTCAGATTGGATGTAGTGAAGAATCATTGGCAGATTCATTTTAGGGGTACCTGGAGGGACAACTGGAGAAAGAACAGAGCCAGTGATACCTAGACTGCTATCCATTTTTTTCCTGAGCCTGAACCACCTGCCATTTCCTATTCATTCAACTACAACTACAACTATGCAGTTGCAGAGAAATACACCTTGTGTCATTCACCTAGTAACCCTAAATCAAATGATTGCATAGAGAAAAAATGCAACATGGCCTAGGAATCCATGAGTCAGGATGATAAAGGAAAAGGGAGGTGGTAAATGACCCTAAGATGGAGAAAACACCAATGGTTGATGGGCAAACATGAATATTAGGGAGGTTAGGGGCATTTTTCTTGAGCCCAAAGAGGTCAATCTCTGATTCATGTGGTAAAGGAGAAACTAAAGAACCTTTATGGAGAACCTCCTCAAATATTACAACAGTCACTCAACATATCTAAGGAAAAAATTATTGATCTTCCCAGATCATCTTCTCCCAGCCATGCATTTTCTTAGAGGGCAAAGCAAAGTAGGGACTCCTACCCAGAGAGGCCACATTCCTCAGGTTTTCCAGCATGACTTCCTGATGCAGGGCTTTTTGGTGGGGATCCAGCTGAGACCACTCCTCCTCTGAGAAATACACGGCCACTTCCTTGAGGGACACAAGACTCTGGAAAAGGAAAAAAATAATGATCTCCCCCTTTGTTCAGAGTCCCAAAAGCAGAGATATGCAAGAGATTAAATGGGTACTGTTTTACAGGAGACAGAACTGCAAGAGACAGAGCTCCCAGCTTTTCATCGACAGGACATCAAGGACAGGTTTTATCAACCAGACTGATTTGAAATGACTTTCAGCACCATTCAGGCAAAGCAACCACAGTATCTGTCTAGATCGATGGGCCGAAGGCCTTATCAGTGGTTGGGATCCTTCCTTTAGTTGCTAAAGAAAGTGCTGAGGGGTTCCTGCCTGTTTGCACAATGGCACATATTCAGTCCAATTTTCAATCTTAGAAAAACAGAGATTAGTAAATTCACCCAATGATACATTTGAGAATTAGGAATAAAGCCCTGATATTTGAGAGTTGCAACTTTAAAAGACTCCTATATAAATCTCACAGTCTAGGAGTCTGATCGATCCATAGCAATTGGATTATTAACTTATTTACTGTATGCATGGAATTAACATAGTGATCTGTTTTAAAATAGATATTCATTGTGAGGGTATATTTATTTTTAGAGAAAACTATCACATTTAAATAAGGTAAAAATAAGAATGAAAATAAAAATATCAAACTCTGACTCCAAGAAAACTCACTGTTGTGAAAGGGAGGTGGAGGAGTTGGGGAGGAACTGGTCCATGTAAATAGAAAAACTAACAAAGGGAAAAAAATTAAAAGAAATCTAAAAAAGAAATCAAATCAAGGACTAACACAAGTGAATCAAAACCAGGAGACAAACAGAGAGAAAAAATTAAAGATGTAAGAAAAAAATTACTAAGTGGAGATGTGCCTAAATCATAGCCTCAAAGCTGAATCATTGTTAAGAATTCAACTACAATAAGAATAATCACCCATTACTTCAGATTTTTTTTCTTGCAGCACTGACCTTGAAT